ATTCCATTAAATGTATTTACATTTTTTTCCTTAAGCACTGTTTGCTGGGTTTTCACTTAACCATCCAACAAATACTGTGGTTATGCAAATGTTTACACTGCGTTCATCTCATTTATTTTAGCACAGAAAAAAAAAAAAAAAAAAGGAGCTGTTCCTAATTGTAAAAATACTGGATTTGTTTAGAGAAATAATTATTAATAATTGCTAAAAATTGTCATTTTTTCTATTTTCTACAAACTTAAAAGCACAGCTGAACAGCAAATTATGGAATTAGAATGTTTAAGAAAGATGTCATTCCCACATCCCCCATCAGGCAGATCCTCATCAACACTCATGAACAGCTGCCAGCAAAGGTGGAGCCCACAATGCAGCAAATGCATAACTTCATCAGTTTCTGCTGGGGCCCAGTGCTTGTTTTCCAAAGGCAGTATCAGGTATGAACAGACCTTCAGCATTCCCAACCTGCCCACTCCTTTATAAAGTGGCAGTGGCTCCAGCTCCAGGAATGGTTCCGTGCTGACTCACTTCTTCTGCAATACCCAGAGGAGTTGAGACAAACCACACACTGAGAATTATTACTCCAAGTTATTGCTTCCCTTGGGCTATTTGAATAACAAACAAAGAGAATGCATAAAGTGAATCCAGATTTTCCCATTTTACTCGTCCAGAGTATAAGCTCTTTGAGGCAGGAGAACTACCTTCACTTTGAATCTTGTACAATATTTTTCACCTTATCAACAATTCATGCAATAATGTATGTAACTGTTCTGTCCTTGCCAGAAAAGAAGACACAGTCCCATGTTCACTGATAAAGACCCTGACAGAAGTCCTGGGAGGACAGATTTGATTTGGATCAAGGAAAAAATACATACTGAAGATTGCTGTTGAATTAGCCAGAACGTTTTATGGTAGTTACACAAGATTTATGCTGTCTGTGGAAAAGTACAGATGACACTCAGCTGGCATAAAGTCAGAACAGCTCAGAAAGACAACAACTGATTCAATAAAAATTTAACCAGAACAAAATGGCAACTTAAAAATTTTCAAATGGTGCCTGTTTGTTCTCTCTGTCCTTTGCTTTGCATCTCAGGCTATATTTATTCTTTTGGAAGAGACTCTAAAATGTTTATGACTTTTCAGCTCATATCCAAGGGAGTGAATCTCATCTTACTGATCAGAAGGGCATCCTCCACCAACTTGGCCTAAAGTTTATCATCTGTCACAATGTCATTAGTAGTTTCTGTTTACCAATCAGAATGTTGAAATAAACATTGTGATTAAAGTAAAACCACAAAAAAGAGGATAGCATACCAGAAGAACAGTGTGAATCCTCTTCCAGGAGGATGGAAAAATAGGGTCTGCCTCAGACAGGATCCCCAGACACCTCATTAAGATAAACAGCTTGACAACTGAGACACTGCCAAGTATAAAAAGCCAAACTTCCTTAAACTGTCTTTAAGTTGTTACTTCACAAAACACAATCCTCAACTAAGTATGAGCTCCACCATCACAGTGAAATCTCAGCTCCAGTGAAGACAGCAGCACAAATTCCCTGTGCTGTAAGCAGCCCAGAGCCACCTTTTGTTGTAGGGGGCTCACATGACAACATGCAGGCATCCACAGCCACGTAGCTCAACCTTGATCACCCCTGAGGAAAAACACACACTTTTAGACTCATCCTCTCTTAGAGGAGACACCTAAAATAGGTCAACTGATTTATACCCAAAAATGCTTTTTTACCTCCTCAGGCTGAAACAAAGATTTAAGTGACAAGCTCTATATTGCAGATACCTAAAATAAGCAGAAAGAAACCCACATAGAATTTTATTCTTGGTTTTCAGATGAAAACACAACTTGTATAAAAGGAACCAGCACATAATATAGACTGCTCTGTGGAAAAGACCAGAATACAAAGTTATTCATCACTCCTTCACCAGGAAGGCTCCTGATATTTACAGAGCAATCAATGAAATGGAAAGTTGGAAACATTAACTGTCCGTGCTAATCAGTGAGGTGAAACAAATTCCAAGTAAATTGGTCAAGTTTCCAGTAGATGCCACAAGATTAGCACATTTTTGACACTGTGATAACCAATAATTGATTTTCTATTTGGATAAAGTTAATTCAGGCTATATGTGTATTTTTTTTTATTGTATCATTAAGTTTCAGTGTTTCTTCACAGACTAAAAATGAGTAGAACAATTATAATTTTGCCCTTCTGCAAAATTTAATCGTCCCAAGTGTACCCCAAAGTTTAAACATCCTAAGTGTACCCCACTACAACAGGATATATTTATGATTTATTCCACATCACCTCCTCCCTGATGTGTCTTGGGTTCAATCCTTACACAGGAGTTAAATCCTCACTATAGATAACTTTCCCATAACTTCACTTCAAAAATCTGTCTTCTGATTTTCCTCCAAATGTTCACCTCATCTGCCAAAACTAACATTGTATTTCTAACCTTCGAACTGGATTTCCAGGATGAGGGGAGGAAAATCTTCTGGCCTCTTATGCCCTGGCATATTTCACACCATAAGTCTTTTTTTATTTGTGCCAACACTGATTGTTCCTAACAATGAATGTTGATTACTCAGATCTTAATTTCTGTGTTTTTCCTTTCTTACTGTTCCTGGTTAATTATATTATTATATGCACATGCATCGTATCTACCACACCTTGGAGGAGATCAGATTAGACAGATGGAAATATTCCAGTAAGATACAAATAATAGAGATACAATATAGAAAAATCAAGATCATAACAGTAATTCTGGAACTGAAAATTGTGAAATAGGCAACTATCAGTCAATGGCTGTTTTTTTAAACAAAATAAATTATATTTCCTATTTAGAGCTTTTTTAAGCTCCAAATATATAAAAATAAAATTTATTAATTAAAAAAAAATATTGAATGGATATACCCAGAAGAAACCTTTCCAATTTCCACCAAGACCACAACTTTTGCTTTTCATCAGAATGTATATAACTTATTCAAACAGATTGCAGCAATTCAGTAACACCATGTGATTTATGGGTACAACATATCTTAAAACTAAAAAAAGCCCTAACACCTATTTAAATAACAGATTGTTATTAGAGTGGAATGGGTCTCTAGCACTCAGTATCTGGGAAAAAGAACATGCATCTTACACAGGAACTACTCTGCCAAAGAAAATATAACCTCTCTACAGCCACCATTTTCATATTTCTTACTGTTAAACACACAGCTTTACTCTACACATCCAAAAGCAAATTTTGTTTTCCTGTTTGATAGATTAAATAACTTTAATAGTCTGGTTACTCTTCAGCTCAGTGTAGAATGCAAATTTTACATCATCTCTATTTGGCATTGAATATTTTGGAGAAGAAATTAATTTTTTTTTAATGGTTTTATAACCTCCATAGTGTTCTGAGACCTTTCTCCTGTTTCACTCTTGATCTTTACTGCTCCTACACGACAGGCTCCTTCCCCAAAAGGGTCCTTCCAACCTCCACATTACTGTGGCTCAAAACAAAGAAATCTTTCCAAGTATCTCCAGGACTACACACTTCAGTGTCTTGATAAAACACCAAGTTTGGCCTGGAAGCTTATTTCAGTGTATTTTTTTTTTTTATAATATTTCAGTATATTTAACATTTCAGTATGTTAGAGACTCTGAAGTCTTCTTTGTTTTATGATATTTTCTGTAACTGACACCAGAAGGGCTCAATAGCTTTTACAGGTGTTCTTTTAAAATGCACTCTGTAATGAGGACTTGACTCATTATTTAAGGGAAAAAAAAGGTCACAATAATCAAAAGCAATTTTCAGTATAAACAGTAATCTGTTGTTACAAGTCAGGACTGAAGTATACAAACACTGTTGTTAATGACAATTAAATAACAACCCCTGAAGCATTGATACTCACCTTCTTTTTATAAAATACTAGAATATAATTTAAAGAAAAACTTGGAAAATGCCCCATCTATTCATTAAATCACTTGGATATCTATCCCTCTTTAAAATGCAGCTGAAACCTATGAGTGAGCTCAAAAATCAGAAGAAATGACTGTATCACAGACTAATAGCACAATTGTTTTAAGTGCCATTTCCTTCAGAAACCAGGCCAAAAGAATACTCATTTCAGACCAGAAATGTCTTAAATGTACCAGAGTCTCAGGGGAAGAAAAAAAAAAAAAAAAAAAAAAAAGCAGAGTGCTGATGGAAAAAAGGAAAGGAATTGCAGAAAAATGTAACTGCAAAGTTTACCACCTATTCAACAGCTTAAAGCATACAGAACACATTGCTTTCAGTCTATTATAACCCAAGATCTCTTTTCTTATTTATTGGTAACAGCATAACAAGGGAGGGAATCCCTATCACTTATATCCTGATTAGTCAATAATTTGGAGGTCTAACGAAGACTCGAGCAAGCAAGTAATTATTCAGATCAGTCCGAACAGAGTTTATTGAACAGTTTTCATTTTTCTGGAAGAAAGATATTTATTCTCCTTCAGGAACATCTCACTGCCCACCACCAGTTTCAAAAAATTGCTCAGTCTTTAAGTCAGTTCCACAGTAGAAAAGTAGCCACTGAGTATAGAAGTCTTATTCAATAAATATAATTTCAAATAAGTATTAATCTCAAAGTTTCCTTTATTCTTTTAACTAACATCTACATCTAGGATAAATAAATCTTGATTTTTCCCAAAACACAAATACAAAAAAGGTTTCCTTAATGTTAGTGAATCAAAATGCTAAGAAATATTATTATTCTGTGAGGAGAACACCTACATAAAGAATGCTGCCATCTTTTTCATTTCTTCCCAATTTTCATCACCAATACAGCTGTACATCTCAATGAGGTATATTAATTAGTTTTTCTGTAACTGTAGAACAATTAATTAAAAGCCACTGGTAACTTCAGATCTGAAGTCTTGCTGGAAGGACTTACTAGCTAGCGGTTTTTAATTTTATTACTTATTTTATAAACATGTAAGTTCAAAAATCTGTACTTACTTCTACATGTGCAAATAACATTTGTTCAGTGTTATCGTTGTTTTTCTCCTTGAGGTCTGGTGGGATGTGTCTGTTTCTTACTTGGAAATGTGTCTTACTAAGATAACCATCACCAAGGTCCTGCGTTCAGAAAAAGAGAAAGAAAAAAGAAATTTTCTGTAACCAAAATGGTAAATGCCTTCACTGTTCTAGAAAATAAACAGAGCATGGTATTTAGGCACCGGCTCCAAGTCTTTTTATAGGCACTGAAGACTGCAGCGCTCCTCAGCACCTTCTCACAGATAGTTTACACCAGTTCTTGGTGTTGAAGTAAGTCAAAGACCTCAACAGCAAAAATAAAGTTTAATATAGCTATTAATGGAACACGACAACTGCACCCTGGGGATCAGGATAAGTGCCAAAGAAGGGGAAGGCAGTGCACCAAGGTGATGAAGAGATGAGGAACTATTAACGATTTTGACCTATTTCAAAGCATTCATCCCACGATTAACTTCCCAACTCTTGCGAAGCTGGTTTGGTTTTGCTCTGTTTCCCCCTCTAACTTTACAAAGTTCTGAAAACAGAAAAAAACAAAACCACTTCAGAATTTATGTATGCAGAGTCACAACTTGTTTCTTTCTCTTGATCACTTCTGAGGTCAAACGTAAGAAAAACCAGACAAAGCTGTGCCTTCTCCCAGTTCACATTTTATCATTTTGCTTCCCAGGCCACACAGCCCACAGTTATTCCTCGTACAATCCCAGAATGGCAGAAGAAAGGTTTAGGAGTTTTCCTGTATTACTGGCCTGTCTACATGCACATTTTATTTTTCCTAATTAGGAGCAAGAGGAGAGAAAATGTTTAGTAAGAGGTACACTCTGAAAGGAAGAAAGCATGTACACAAAACAAAGAACAGTAGTTGCACATTGAGGATTTGTTTCTTAAAGGAAACAAATAAATTGGGAGTTTATTAGCTGTTCCATTACATTTTATTTTAGACAAACAGAGAGCATATGCACAACATCTGATGAAAAAGGATTCTATTCAAAACTGTCTCACTACAAAATTCATTAACATAGCATTAAATTTCTTGACAAGACTGAAAATTTAACTATGATTTAACTCTTTGGTTAATTTGTATTCGCTGACACAGTTCATGCCATTTATTTTTACCTTTAAATCATCACAGGTTTTATACTGACACACTAGTTCTCTTTCCAAAGACACGTAGATTAAACGTACCTTCAAAATCTACTATGAGTTAGTTGATTACTTTGTTCTGATCAAGTTTCACGCATTTAGAAAAGGATAATGCTCTCTACATGTACTTCTTCCATTGATTTTTAAGCATGAATAACAGTATAGGGTGGATGGATGGATGGGTGGATGATGGAGGGATGGATGGATGGATGGATGGATGGATGATGGATGGATGGGGGATGGATGGATGGATGGATGGATGGATGGATGGATGGATGGATGGATGGATGGATGGATGGATGGATGGATGGAGGGATGGATGGAGGGATGGATGGAGGGATGGGTGGATGATGGATGATGGATGGATGGATGGATGGATGGATGGATGGGTGGATGGATGGATGGATGATGGATGATGGATGGGTGGATGGATAGATGGATGGGTGGATGGATAGGTGGATGGGTGGATGGGTGGATGGGTGGATGGGTGGATGGGTGGATGGGTGGATGGGTGGATGGGTGGATGGGTGGATGGGTGGATGGGTGGATGGGTGGATGATGGATGGATGATGGATGGATGATGGATGGATGGGGGATGGAGGGATGGATGGATGATGGATGGATGGATGGATGATGGATGGATGGATGGGTGGATGGATGGGTGGATGGGTGGATGGGTGGATGGATGGATGGATGGATGGATGGATGGATGGATGGATGGATGGATGATGGATGGATGGATGGATGGATGGATGGATGGATGGATGGATGGATGGATGATGGATGGATGGATGGGTGGATGGATGGGTGGATGGTGGATGGATGGATGGATGGATGGATGGATGGATGGATGGATGGATGGATGGATGGATGATGGATGGATGGATGGATGGATGGATGGATGGATGGATGGATGGATGGATGGATGGATGGATGGAGGGATGGAGGGATGGACAGACGGAGCCAGCAGTCTCTGTAGCTGCATATCAGAGCAGTCAGGAAGGAGCAGCAGCCCTCCTGCTGCACTCTGTAGTGTTTTGTACTCTTCCATACCCCCATAAATCACAGCTGTAGCCAGAACCTTGATCCCATTTAATGTGCTAAGGGAGTCCCTTCCTACTACAGCTGTACCAAAAGCCAAAGGGAACTAATGCAGCTTTTGGTATGATTACCTGGATTAAGCTCCCTAAATATGAAACAAACAAAGGGCCTCATTTGCTTCAGCTAAATCTCAACCTCCACAGCAAGATTTAACCATTCATCCTTAACAGCAGCACCCAAGTTCAGCTCCACCAGCTCCTGCAGTAGAGGTGCTCTTGGCTTTTTTACAGCTTTCTTCCGGTGGGAAAAAAAAATCCCAAACCAAGAAAACACATTATAAAAATAACATCATTTGGAACATTTCACTTACAGCTATAAATACAGGGTTCTGCCTGGGCCATGTGAGCTTATGTACCAAGAGCCAGCTCCACGAGAACAATGAGTATTTCATCATCTAAATTTAATCTCCACAGAAAACACGGCAACACAGGAACACAGTTCTACCAGCCTGGTTCACTTGTGTGGTCTCACTGCTATCAATGGGGCTATTCACGTGAGTCAGGAATGAGGAATGGGATCCAAGTACATTACATCAGCAAAATTAAGAGTGCCCCAAACTACCCACAACACATATGCTGGTTAAATTAAAAAAAAAAATTTTAAAAAAAAAAAAAAGGACAATGAGACATCTTGTTGAGGAAAAGCTTTCTTCCCAGACTCCACACTGTAAATGGATGGTCTCCACGGCCACGTTTTTATCACACACTGAAATCACAGAGTCGCCAACTTGGCCCATTAAAAGAAGAAAACAACCCTCTTAGAATTTTTTTATATGAGAACAAAAATCTATCTCATTCTGCTATTTCCAGCAAAGCTTCTTATTTCACAGAAAGTTCAGACTTTGACCCATGTATTAAATTCCCTGTAGAGGCTCAGAGCATCTTTCTTTGTTGAATAAATCCTCACAAATATAGCCTTGAACTGAAATCTAAAGTTTCAAATGGTTTTCTGTAAGAAAGGGTGCATTGTAACACTTGGCTAATATTTGCACTGTTATAAAAACTCCTAAATAGAACAACTCTAAGTCCAAGGTCCTCCCTCTTACTGAAATTCTGATAGTCTGTGATGAAAGTGTTACAATTATTAATGTACAACTACACATATAAAAATGACAGCAAACACTGGAAAACATATGACTTTTCTCAAAAAAATTCATGAAAACATGGGAAACCAATGAAGCCTAAAAATATATACTTATACTCCAAAAAAAAAAAAAAAAAAAGCTAGAGTAGCAGATTTTCCACTATAGAAAGAATATATGAAAAAGAGGGCATGAAAACCTACATGCTGGAGAAAGCCAGCATGTATCAATACATCTTCATATTCTGTGACAATAAATTTTTATGTACTGTATCAATATATATTTATACACTATAATACATACACTGAATAATTTGTGTAGCTATTCACATATTAGTTTGACATTATCCTGAGCAAAATAACAAAAGTCATGCAGAACTCTGTAAATGAAAAAATATGTATAGTAAAAGCATTTTTCTTAAAGAAAACAGAATCTGTCTGTGTAATTTCAGAAGACATGTTTGGTTGATAAACATACAAGCTGGAACAATACATGCTCTGAATTCCCTAAGATATCTGTGGATTCCACAAGTGGAAATTTAAAAAAAATATAGCAATCCCACACTAATCTTCACATGCTACAGGATGAAAATTTATTAATTCAGAGATCTCAAAGTCTAACTTAAAAAATGGTGAAATCATCATAAAAGAAGTGATTCTAATGGGGTCCTTTGGGACTAGTCTTAGCCCTGTGCTATTTAAAATTTTGATTAATGACCTAGAAACAATATGTAGTTATTATTGTAGAGGTTTGAAAGTTATGGAGAAGCGGCAAATAACGAGGATTGATCATTAATATTAGCAGATACTTCTGGTTGCTGTATGGAACTGACAGGAATTGTAATGAAAATACTAAGCTAAGGATCTAGAACAAAAGCTATGTGCCATTTCAGCCTAAAGGGTTAAAGTAAACCACACGAAGTTGCCCAGAGTAGGAGGGATTAAATTTCACATTCATAGGCTGGTCCTGCCCATGGATGAAAAAGGGTTTTGATAGATTGGCCAAGATTCAGAGATCCACAGCCCTCTTCAATACCTGCACTGGGCTAAGCCCTCACATCAACACATTTCTGCAGTTTACAGGATGTTTCAGCTTGTGGTGGTTGTCAACAGCTCAGAAAGCCCACCAAGAGTTTCTAAAAGTCAACACTCTGATTGTTTTACCTTGCTAGTTCTCCACTCCCAGCCATCTCCTATCTGCTGCGAATGTTTAACAAAGTCTTCACAGCACTGCTTGAATCTTTTCTCCCCCAAAAAGAATTCTTCACCTGCCATGCTGCAGGACACCTGCAGAGCAAACCAAAGGTTAGTGCTGGCAGATGAGAAGAACACCAAGAAGTTTCACTAATTCATAGCAACTGAACAGTAAAGTAACAAAGGACAGGGAAAAAAAAATAAAAACAAAAAACTATTGCTTTAAATAGCACAAAGACTTTTCTTCAATTCCATCACAGAGTCATGGATCTGCAGAACAGCTGAGGCTGGAAGAGACCTTTGGAGACCACTGGTTCATTCCCCCTGCCCTCAGCAGTGTCAACTGCAGCAGGAAGCTCAGGATGGTTTACATTTGGGTTTTGGTAATCTCCAAGGATGCAGATGCCATAGCCTCTCTAGGAAACCTATTTCGGTGCTCAATTGCCATAGCAGGGAATATTTTTACTTCTGTTTAACTGGAAGCATTTAACTATCAGTTTGTGCTTGCTGCCTCTTGTGTTGTCTCAACTGAAGAAAGTCTGGCTCCATCTTCTTTATTCCCTCCCACCACGTATTTATGGACATTCAGAAGATCCCACTGACCCTTCTTTTCTCCAGGCTGATTTATCCCAGCTCTCTCAGCCTTGCCTTATACACCAAACACCCTTAACCATCTTTTGGGCTCCTTTGCTGGACTGTTTCCAGTATTGTGCTGTCTTCCCTGTACTAGGCAGCCCAGAGCTGCACTTCTAACATGTATTTCCTTAATAGTGCAGTGCAGCTCTCTTTGGCCCAAAAATATGGCTTCAAAACTTTCCCTGTCCCTCAAAGGGCTTTCTCACAGGGTTTTGAAGATAAATTTTTTCTCAGAGAATTTGGTCATTTTTACTCAACCCCCTCTCTCTCCTTGCCCATTCCAATGAGGATGTGTCACAAACACAGCTGGATTAATGTGCTTGTGGAGATCAGGCAGCATTGCAGCACCACAAACAAACCACTGAATCACAAAATGGTTTGGATGGAAGGAACCATAAAACTCATCTTGTTCCATGGGCAGGGACACCTCCCACTGTCCCAGCTGCTCCAGCCCCTGTGTCCAGCTTGGCCTTGGGCACTGCCAGGGATCCAGGGGCAGCCCCAGCTCTGTGCCGGGGCTGCCCACCCTGCCAGGGAAGGATTTCTTCCCATAATCTACTCCAAACCTACTCTTTCCAAGTTTAAAGCCATTTCCCCTTTCCTGTCAGTGGCTATCACAACAATAACCTGTAACCATTACAACCAGATCACACCTCTCCTTAACAAGAAATACAATTGACACAGCATCTCACACAATGCTCATTATTTTTCAGTATTTGGCCCTGAGTCACATCATCATCCTGTCTGCCCACAACAAAAATTATTTATTAACACTCGAAACACATTACTCTCAACAGCAGTTAACCCAAGGCTCTGCGCCTCTTGGATGCCAGGAAAGGGGAAAAACAGGAAACAGACAGTGCAGGTGTTTCTGTAATGCAAATCACCCTCACTGAAAAACGTGAGGAGTGCACAGTTCCCTCACAGGGCTGAAACAGAGCTGTGTGCTGCTGGAACAAGGCAGTGAAGAACCACCGAATCCCAAACCCCTGGGGCTGGAAGGTTCCTCTGGAGCTGTCCCCTGGGCAGGGGCTCAGGACGTGCCCAGCCGGGCCGGGATGTCTCACACAGGGACCTGCAGCCCTCCCCGGCACTGTCCCAGCTCTGCCCCTCCGTGCACACAGTTCTTCCTCCCGCTGCCCTGACACTCGCCGGCCTTTCTCCGATGGCCACCGCTGCTGCTGCGGCCCGGCCCGAGCTCCGGCAGCCCCGGGAGCTGTGGGACGGACGGACGGGATCCCCCCTCAGTTCCCTTCTCCAGGGCCCGGCCCGAGCTCCGGCAGCCCCGGGAGCTGTGGGATGGACGGACGGGATCCCCCCTCAGTTCCCTTCTCCAGCCCGCCCGGGCCGAGCTCCGGCAGCCCCGGGAGCTGTGGGATGGACGGACGGGATCCCCCCTCAGTTCCCTTCTCCAGCCCGCCCGGGCCGAGCTCCGGCAGCCCCGGGAGCTGTGGGATGGACGGACGGGATCCCCTCAGTTCCCTTCTCCACACTACGTGAAGGAGCCCCGAGCCGACCGGCCCGTCCCTGCCCGGCTGCGTGGAGGCCCGCACGAATTTTTTTATCCCCTTTCCTCCTCTCCTGGGTCTTCCCGGCCCCGGCGGACAGGGTCGGGGAGAGCGGGAGGGACCAGCCCCGCTCGCCGCCCCTCACGTACCGTGCGCTCCTCCTCCTTTTTCCTTTTCCTCCTCTTTTTCCTTTTCCTCCTCCTCCTCCTCCTCCCGCCGCTCCGGGCGCGCGCCGGCCCCGCCCCGCCGCGCATGCGCAGCCCCGGGCGCGGGGGCGGGAATGGGGGCGGGAATGGCGGGCTGAGGGGTGAGGGGGAGTGGGGGGATGAGGGAGTGAGGGAGTGAAGGAGTGAAAGAATGAAGGATGAGGGAGCGAGGGAATGGGGGGTAAGAAGGATGAGGGAATTGAAGGGGGTGAGGGAGTGCGGGAATGAGAGGAATGAGGAAATGAAGGAGCGAGGGGGATGAGGGAGTGAGGGGATGAAGGAGTGAGGGGATGAAGTGAGGGAATGGGGAGATGAGATGGATGGGAGGGATGAAGGAATGAAGGGGATGAGGGGATGCAGGAATGAGGGGGATGGGGGGATGAAGGAGTGAGGAAATGGGGGATGAGGGAATGAGGAAGGAGCGAGGGGGATGAGGGAGTGAGGGGATGAAGGGGATGAGGGAATGAGAAGAATGGGGATGAAGGAGTGGGGAAATAGGGGTTGAGGGAATGAAGGAGTGAGGGGATGAAAGAGTGAGGGGATGACGGAGTGAGGGAATGGGGAGATGAGATGGATGGGAGGGATGAAGGAATGAAGGGGATGAGGGGATGCAGGAATGAGGGGGATGAAGGGGATGAGGTGTGAGGGAATGGGGGATGAGAGAGATGAGGGAATGAGGAGGATGGGAATGAAGGAGTGAGGAAATAGGGGTTGAGGGAATGAAGGAGTGAGGGGATGAAAGAGTGAGGGAATGGGGGATGAGAGGGATGAGGGAATGAAGGCGTGAGGAGATGTGGGAATGAAGATGGGGGGATGAAGGAGTGAGAAAATGGGGGATGAGGGAGTGAGGGAATGAGGAAGGAGCGAGGGGGATGAGGGAGTGAGGGGATGAAGGGGATGAGGGAATGGGGGGATGAGAGAGATGAGGGAATTAGAAGGATGGGGATGAAGGAGTGAGGAAATAGGGGTTGAGGGAATGAAGGAGTGAGGGGATGTGGGAATGAGGATGGGGGGATGAAGGAGTGAGGGAATGGGGGATGAGGGAATGAAGGAGGAAGGGGGATGAGGGAGTGAGAGAATGGGGTGATAAGGGATGAGAGAATGAAGGCATGAGGGAATGAGAAGGATGGGGGGATGAAGGAATGAAAAAGTGAGGGGGATGAGGGAATGAGGAATGGGAGGGATGAGGGAATGAAGGGTATGAAGGAGTGAGGAAATGGGGGATGAGGGAGTAGGGGAATGAAGGAGCGAGGGGGATGAGGGACGAGGCAGGATGCAGGGAATGAAAGGGATGAGTGCGATAAGGGGTACGAGGGGATAAAGGGCATGAGAGGAACGAAGGGAATGAATGAGGGGCTCTAGGGGATGAAGGCTGAGGGGGCTGCAGGGTTGACGGGGTGTGGAGGCAGCGGGGCTGAGAGCCATTAGGGAGGGATGTGAAGGTCCTGAGGGTGATGAGGGACCCTGGGGGCTGCAGCCGCCCACCCCAGCCCGGTGTGAGGTGTAGGTGCCCAGCCAGCCCTGGAGGAGCCCTCCTCCTCCTCTTCCTCCTGCCCTCTGCAGCTCAGCCCAGCCCAGCACAGGTTGTTTTTACGCCAAGCACTCCCCAGTATATCAGGCCTAGTCACCTTTCTGTCCCCGCTGCATAAATATATAATGTTGTTATGTTTTGAGGAGGAGGTGGTGTGGAGTTAAGGTGTCAGGGGGGGTCAACTGGGCACTTCCTAGGCCATTTCCAGGAGGTGCCAGCATGTATTCCAGTGTTATTTCCATTTCCCAGCTGCGCTGTTTCCGTAATTGCCTGTAGGTCGGAGAATTTGGGAGGAGCATCAAAGCTGTTCTGCTATGCAAATGCTGTTGGAATTATTTTTAAATTAAAGAGTCTATTAAACCATAGGTTTTCCAATGGTAAAGTCTTGCCTGGCCCAGCTAAGCAGTCCAAGGTAGTGTGTGCAGAATGCACTACAACAGGATAGACATAAAATATATTTGTTTTACCTATTTAGCTATAAACTGCTGCTTTAAATATTCTAGGACTGTTGTGTGTATAGCAAACTACAGCTACTCCACCAGTCTGGAGACCACACTACTCAGGGAGAGCTTCTGTGAGCGAATGGTGTGTTGTGATGTGACATTTTCTCAACTGTGCACTTCCTAATTTCCTTGTAGTTTGCTGAATGTGGAGAGCTCAGGAGGGCAAAAGCTTTTTCTTTTTTTTTTTTTTTTTTCTTTTTCTTCCTTTTCTCTTTCTCTTTTTCTTTTTCTCTTTTTCTTATATTCCTGAGGTAAAGAGTCTATTCTTAAAATTCCTTTTAGCAGCCAAGTCCTTCAAATAAATACCAGGGTTCATGTGTAAAGATGATTTTCACCGCTTCTGATCAATGAAATATTCCATCTAAGTTTGCAGTTTTCAACATTAGGTGTATATATAAATGAAGTTTTACTTCATTGAATTATTCTGGAGAATTATTAATTGTATTATGTGTATTAATTGTATTATTTGAACAGATTATGGTGCCTTTATAGGCATATATATCTTCAATGCATACACGATTTTTAAAATCAGCTGCATAGTTTGGGTGATGCCATTATAATCTGTGATGCAATAGCTCTTATTTAATCATCAGAATTAATTATTTATATCATTCCTTACTGTTTCTTTTTTTTTTTTTTTTTAATTTGTTGAGTAAAACACCACGTTGTCACCCCCCACCCCCCCCCCCGAGTTTTGGGGGAGGGTTTTTCACTGTGGAGTGTTCTCTCTAGGCCATTTTTGCTAACAGTAAATGCATGTGGTAATGAAAAAACGTCACGTAATGTTCATTTCCTTGGAAGCTACAGCTCCTGATTTCTAATTTTAGCTTTGTTACTGTCTCTCTGGATTATCTTAGGGAAGAATCGTTGGGTTTGAGACATGGCTCATATGAAAAGTGGCTGAGAGGGCCCTGATTTTGCATCTAAGCTGGCAAAGGAGTTGCCATGGCTGAAAAAATAAGGCTGAGCAGAGTGAAATTCTGTTCTTGCAACACCTGGTATCAGCTTGGTCATCTCCAGTCCCGTTGCCAGGGCACTGCAGTAGATTGCAGTGTGTGCCTCTTTATCAAGGGAAATGCATCTGCTGCGGCTCTGAAATTACTGGACAAGAAGTCCCAAAGTGGGGGGTTCTCTCCTCTCTCTTCCTCCTTTTGCCTGAAAAAATGCCTCGGGTTTCCATCTCATCTCTGCCAGGCAAGAGCATTAATTGCCCTGTTCCATGTGTCACTGCTTGGATATTTATACACTTAAATGCATTAAAAAGTCATTAGACCATTTAATTTTATCTAAATATATTACTATGCATTTAGATATATCTATTTTTCATACATTATCATTTATGATGATGAATGAGCAAAATCATTTATACAAATACCAAATTTTTATCAAATATCAAACTGAAAAAATGTTCAGAGTAAATTACAGTTGCTGTAGGAACTTAGTTGATTGGGGAATTTTGGAACTGAACTAAATAAAGATCATGGAGAATAATCCTTTTCAGCCAGAATGAATGAACCTCTGAAAGGACTTCTTCACCTCTTCATCCTGCTCTGTTGTCCCAGGAAATGCGGCTCCAGCCCAAACTCCCTGATCAGTCGAGCATTTCGTGCAGCACTCCACTCTCCAAAAAGAAGAAAAGGTGACATTACAGCTCCCAGACTGGCAGAATTAACACCATCTACATTTCATGTCATGTATCTTCCTCAGTGTGCCTCATCTCCTGACAAAGTAATTCTCATGCTGCTTCTTACACTTTGTTCTTTGATTACTCTTGATTTCTGACACTGAGTGATGTCGCTGGGACAAAAAGAGATGATAATTTGTTAATGCCAGTGCCTGGCAGTACCCGTGTTGCAAAGTTTTGTAACAAAAGAATATTGCCAGGTGTGCCAAATCAGAAATAATGGTGTGGCCAAAGTGAAATGCTTCTGAGAATGTCTTGTGAGGCTGCCTGACAGCATGCTCAAACCATTTCAGTTGTGCTATAACACAAAGTTTCTTCATTTTCTGTACTAATATGTAATAAAAACTAAAAATAAGATATTTTGCATTTTTCTGCTGTGTTTGTTCAGGAGACTTAGTAGTCAAAATCTCCTCCCATGACACAATGCCCACTTGGTAAATGGACAGTTACTTTTTCAAAACTGTTAACAAACCCTATTTTTCAGTAATCATTGTAATACTGCTCTTCTTTTGTGAGGTACACAAGTAGTGTTATTTTTCCTTTTGCTGGCAGAAAAAGAGGAATGAAGTGACCTGTTGAAGACTGTGGTAACTGCTGGGCCGGTGAATCGAGATGAATTTTGTCAACTTGTACTCTGTGCTTTCGAGTGTTTGAGCTCTTGGGCCCTGTGACTGTGCTGAAAGTTCAAAAGGAAATAAACTGAGAGGTACACAAACAGCATTCATTTTTCATGAAGGTTTTTATTCCACTCCAGTGGCAAATGTTTCCAATCAGCACTGAAGGAAGTACAGTCACAATGCAGTAGTTGTTGCCACCTTCAGTTTTTAGCAGTTTTTCCTACCTTTTTCATTTTACATAAAAGTTGAATAAATCTTTCAGAGTTCAGATGATTTTTTTTCATTTGTTTTATATTCTCTTCAAGTTACTGTTATTCATGTTCCTTTCTTAATTTTTTGTTGCTTTGGTTTGTTGTTGTTGTTTTCTCCTACTAACCTAATATATATCAAACTCAACTTGAGACAGGGTATCTAGGAAATACTGACACTATTTATTGAAAATATAGCAACTGTTGAAGGTCTTAAAAGTTTTGCTTCTGGGAAGGGAAATTGAATTTAGGGGGTTGTGCAGTTAATGAGAAGGACTGCTTGATGCAGAAAGATTTTTTTTCCTAATTAGCTCACAACTTCTTGGTCAAAACAGCATTAAAATATCTGTAGACAGTGGAGCAAAGGTCATTATTATATGAAATTACAGTAAGAGGATACACTTATGACTAGAGTAAGTATATATAATTCTAATAAATAAGCAAGTTAGTCTTTCTCTCTTGTTTCGTTACACCAGCAAACTACAATACCACTGTCAAGTTCACTAAAAAGTCAGAAATAAGTTCAAAGTGCAGAGTGTGTGTGTGAAATACTTTGGTAGGTAGATTAGAACTAGGATTACTTTTATGCAAATAACATAAATTAAGCCTATTGCTAAGGTCCAGAGTAAATTACTCTTCTGGTACAGGTCTAAGGAATTCTTTTACCTAAGGAGGCTGACCCAGTTGAAGATTGGGAGGGAAATTCCACACAGGTGAACAGTTTTTTTTTCTTTTTCTTTTTGGAAAATAAAGTAGCTCAACAACAGAAGCTATCCAGAAGCCAGGCAAGAAGCAACACAAGTTTAAAAGTATTTCTGTATATTTTTGTTACGGAATTAAGGTATAGTACATGCAGTACAGGTTGTGTCCCAGCAGGTTGGACTGAACACTTTGTCCTTGATGTCACAGCACTGCATGCACACAACACCTTACACAGCAGGGATGTATGGGATCTGTATGTTTGACCCCAGGATTTCTGAGGATCACCACAGGCATCATTCCAAGAGTTAGATTTGGTTTCATTCTCCTTTCTTCCCTATTTTTCCCCTTGCCTGTGACAGCAAAGCGACAAGCCCTGGAGCTTAAGCTCATGCTCCAACTGAGGCCCTTCCCAGTGAGGTTGTTACCCACAGAGTGTTATCGCTCCCTGTTATTTTAGTAACAGCTAATTTCTCTTATTAGAGACCGTGAAATGATTCTCTGACTGCTCAGATCCCAGAGGAAGTGCCAGTTCCATACCTAGCAGTGGAGCAGCACAACCACACTGTGCTTTTGGCACGCTGGAGACACGCCAGAGCTCTGAAAACACCTCCTGATGGCAGCTGGGTGAAAACTGTGGGGGCAGTATCCCAGGTTTGGGGGGTCTGGGAGGGCTACAAAGGGCTTGGGGGTGTCTGAGGGGGCTAAAGGGGAATTATCATGGGTTTAAGGGAGGTCTGGGATGCTGGAGAGGCTTGGGGGAGCTGTTAGCAGGATTATCATGGGTTGGGGGAAGTCTGGGGGGCTGTGGTGTTTTTGGGGTAGCTGTAGGGGTTTCTGTGGGTTTATGGGGGTCTAAGGAGGAACACAAGGGGATTGGGGGTGCTTTGGGTGTTATAGATTTGGGGCACTGTCTGGTAGGGGCTATAGAGGGATTATGGGGGTCTCTGGGGAGGCTGTAGGGGGTAATGGGGTTTATCATGGATTTGTGGTGGTCTGGGAGGGTCTGAGGGAGCTGTCAGGGAGTTATGGGGGCTTGCAGCTTCTGGTAGGTCTGTAGGGGGTTTTCTTGGGGTTTTGGGAGTGCAGAGGAGCTGGGGGGTTCTGGAGTGTAGACGTGAAGGGGCTCTAGAAAGGTCTGGGGTGCTGTGGGGGTTTTAGAGGGACAAGAGGGTTAATGGGGAGGTAAAATGGAGTGGGGGGCTCTGGGGGAGTTGGGAGGGGTTCTGGGGAGTTCCCTTGGATGTGGGGGCTCAGGAGGAGTCTGTGGGGATATTAAGGGCTTATCATGAACTTGGGGCAGCTCTGGGGGGTCTCAGGGGGCTATAGGGCAGAAATGGATTTGGGGAGATTTGTGGAGCTGCAAGGTGGGGATTATCATGGGATGAGGTGGACTTTGGAAGTTGTGGGGGGGTTATGATGTGTCTCTGGGCTTCTGTACCCTAGAAAACATCCAGTGGTCTATGGACGTGGACTTACAATAATGAAATTAAATTGCTTTGTGCTGTCAGAGGGCATGCTGGTGATACTAGTGTGAGTTCATGAATAGCAGATTGGAGCTGCTTCTGTAAGAAACTTTAAAGTTTACTTGGAAAAAAAGAAAAAGTTATTAAATATCTCTTAAGCACAAATGCATAGCCTGGTGATAGAGTCTCTGTGAGCATTTCAAAGCCACTTGTTAAAATGTGAGTTAAATGGGTGCAGAAACAAAGTAACCTAAAACAAGGGATTATACAGTTCTCCTCCAGGCCTCCCCTCCTGGAGGAATTCTAATATTTTACTACTCTCTAGCACTCCTAATACAACAGTTGTGGCACTGGAGAAAATCCCAGTTTTAATGTCCCCACCAACAGAAGATCATGCCCTCTAATTATACATTTTTAATATACCTTTGTCAGATTTGTTAATGATAAGAATTTTCTTTGCATCACAGAAAAGACCTGCTGCCTGAAATGAAGGGGTTAGAATGTGTTAAAATATCATGTCTATGCTAGACTTCACCAATACTCTGTTAAATAATATAAATTTATTTATGGCATTCATGCTTTTGTTTATCATTATTTGGACAAGGCGAAGGACTTTTTTTTTTTTTTCTTTCCTTTTTTTGAATTACAGAGCCCAGGAATTTGCTAGAATCTCCAAAAGTCCTATCAGCAGTTAAATTAGAGGTACTATTAAATCTAATTTTGTGTGGGTTTGGTGGTTCTTCTCCCCATAACATCTGCACATTTATTCAGATAAAGTTTGAAACCTGCAGCATGCTGCATAATCACTGCATACATCAAGCAAGATGATCCTTTCAGTGTTGCTGGAATATTTTCCTGACCCTGAAACTGCTGACAATTTCCACTGCAGAAGTGTGTGAGGAAAAAAAAAATGGATTAGTTGGGCTCCAACCCTTCAAACCTTGTCGGTAGAATTTCAACACCAGGTTCTTCTTGCAGTTTCAGTACTCTCATCAGTACTTGCCTCAGAATTTCTTACTTTGGTCCATGATTCCCAAGAGCACTGGCCCCACTTGACCAGATTTACCCTGGCACAAGGTTCACTGAAGTATTTACCTACAGCACAGTTGTAGCACACGGGAAGATTTCGGGCAGGGCAGGGGGTAGAGGTTACCCAAACCACCTCCAATCCCCAGCCCCAGCCAGTCTGCAGCGCTTTCACCGGGTAAACAACACCCCAGGAGTCAGAGGAATTCGGGAGGAGAAGAGTCTGGGAGCAATCTGCACCGAAATTTGAATGATTTATTTAATAACACTGCGAAATGGCACACTTTAGCTTCAGCAGCTCATCAGCGCCAGCTCCCCTGATCTGTGCTCGGCACCGACAGCTCCTTACCATAACAATGGGATCCAGGGGCCAAACCCACCGCCCGAGCAGCTCTGCTGTGTCAGGATTCATTCAGCCCAGCAATCACTCTGAATTATCCGGGCTGGAGCTGGGGCGGCGACACCTGAGGAATGACAAACCCGGATTCTCTTCCCAGGAATTTTCACGGGAACACCTACATTCGAGAAACAAAGCCAAGATAAGATGTAAAATTAACCGGTGGATCCCTGGCTCATGATGCAAATAACGTACAATCACTTGTACATTATTTTAGAGGCCAGAGAGGTGATTATTCTGCAGGTAAGAATAGCGAATGTGCCCCCGAGCACCAGCTCAAAGGAGACCCACCCAGCAGCAGCGATCCCGAGCACTGCTTCCCCAGCTATGCATGGTTTTTTGTCTGCTGACCCAACAGTTTACCCAAATCCAGGTCGATTTCTGCTTAATCCCTTTTATCCCAACTCCTGGTAACTTCTTCTGTCCCCTCACCAGCTCAAACAAGGTGGCTTTAGGGATAGGCGTATTTCATTCATGTAAAAATACATATCCGTGTATGTTTGCAACAGCACCTACAAATGTTGTCTGTCTGGCAAATTATCTTGCCTTTTGCAGGAAAACGTTTACACGCTGAGGTGGCTAAAAGCACCTTGGGAGATGACAGCTTGTTGTGGTTTCCAGAAGCTGAGGAACAGCTGCTCTATCCTGATTTATCAACTGGGAAATGTCGGAGCCCAGCACATCCCTCTGGCTGCCCTGGCTGGCTCCAGACCCTGGCACAAAGTCAAAAACACCTGTGGGTTCCATTTTAGCCCATGGAAAAAGCTGTCAATTTTGTACGAGGAATTACAAGCCACAAGGGCTTTAGTAGTGGGATATTTGAATTAACACAGGGTGGAAAAGTAGAATTTTGGAGTATTTAGACTAGGATTCAGGGGGTCAAGATGGAGGGATTTGGGCATGTCCTGAGCTTCTCCTTCTTGCCCTCCACATCTTGCTGTGCTGGTGACACTTTTCTATTGGTTTAAGGTGACACTTTTCTGGTTTAAGGTACAGACACACTGTCCAACATAAATGACAGATATTGGCACATTATTGTAAACATGGCACAGGTAGTTTTTGGTATAAAATGTGAACACCACCCTGAGGGCAGACAGAATGCCATGGCCGAGCTGCTGGACAGAGCTCAGCAGGTCAGAGAAAGAATGTTCTAGATAAGGAAGAATGAACAACCTTGAGAAAAGCCAATCCTACACATTTCAGACTCCTTTGGCTGCACGGGCTGGGAGAACAAGGACTTTTTACACTCTTGGGGACATCCCAACAC